AAGAGTCTGTATTTCCGGTTGAGATGAATTTCTCAGTTCTTCAAGTCTCAAGTCTTCTTCCTAATAAAACCACGTATTGAATTAAAGAAAAAATACTTTAACCATATAACTTCTTCAATAACTTAAAACTAGTAGTGCTGAAACAGTACGTACTCTTCTAGCCTTTAATAATGGTTATGTAATACTATTTACACCATAATTTCTCTCCAAATTTACACATCTCAATTATTTACCTCAAAACTTATCTGAAATCATAGAACATTTGGTGCGAATATTAAATAGTTTCAATAAATATATTTTTTATTCAAACCTTTAAATGAAAGTATCTCTGGCATTTAATTCGTTATATAAGGTGTGCATTGTATTCACAAACATAACCGAAGGGTTTTTTGCCTTATTAAACAATATACGAGAAAGTAAAATAATTAAAAGTTAATAAATAATACGATACTGATAGCGTTAGCAAACGATAGAAATAGAAAAATATACATTAGTTAATATTAAACAATAGTATTGTAATATTCTCCAAATATGCATGTTTCAACACGAATTACAGGTTACTCCTTGTCTGAATATGCAATGAGACATTTTTACTCCTCAAAAAAAATTACCTCGAATTGTCTTTAATAATGCTACTGTATTCAGAATTCAAAATCTAAATGGGTTAGTGTAGGGTTGCCAGCATTTACAAAAACGTTCACAAAACACATTTCTCCCCATAATACGCCACACTCGGTTTTTTTCTGTTTTTGACGTTAAATAAAATATAGAAATAAATAAAACAAAGCATCATAACGGTTGCATGCCAATGTTCAACAAAGAGACGAATTCAACAAAATTCCGTTATTTCATTATCGTATATTGTTCAACAATGAACTTTTGAAACATATAACGCTGCATTTTTTCCCAAGACAGGGTATGTAGTAATATAATAATAAAATGTTCATAAAAGTTAATGGTACACAATTTTTTCAATTTTTCTTTCATGTAAAGTGTTAGAAATAACGTTAATATAAGCCAAACCCAACCAATAAAAAGGAAGCGCCAGTGGTGGATACCTGCGTTTAATTCGATAGCCATGAAAAGTAGTCATTTATAACTTTCGGAAATAAAACATACCATAGACAGCGATCAACGTTTCTTGAAGTAAAGAAGTAGTTTGCTAGTTCTAAGTTAAATTGTTATTGTTAATATGTTTCACCAATCTACTTCTTTTATAAGAATAGCAATAGCTTTCAAACACTTCTCAACTTATGTTCACGAAGCGCAGTAAATTTGGAGCAGGCGAATTTGTAGTCATGTTACACAAAAAATACTCATATTTTCAAAAAAATAAACATGACCTTATTAAACAAGATTTATATTTATAAACACATTTAATTGAGAAAAAATGTTATCTTCACAATTGTAGTTGTAGGAAGACGCCGAATTTTAAATTATCATAATATCCGACATTTTAACGAGCACTATACTTGCACAATCTCTTAAGCGTTCTTTACTCTATCTAAAGTGTAAATTTAATCAAAAAATGCCGTTTTTAAGAAAAAACGTTTAAAGAAAATAAATTGCCTCAGTTTGACACAAAATTTCGCAAAAAGAACTCATGTTTTTGAAACATTGAACTTAACATTGTTTTTAGATCTGATGAGCATATTTCATTAAGAAACAAATTGTATCTTCATTATTATAGTTATAGGAAGACGCTGAAGGAATGTTAATTTTTTTCAATTTTCAAAAATCGGGGTCATTCGATGACTCGAAAAGCTTTTATGTGCCACAAGCCGAGTGTTGTGACAGCAGATAGTTGTGAAATGACTTGCGAGTCCTATTTCTTGTTGTATTAAATGCTCTTGTGTAATTTTTACCCTTGACATCCCTGTTTTATTACCATAATCGTAAATCATCTATTTGAGCTTAAATTGCCTAAAGAGAAATGCATTTCTGCACTATATATAAATCATTATTTAATGTAAAAACAAGGAGAATAGCCGTTTCTACATAGGAGTTTCGCACGAGTACACTGGCTTCAGTATTTTGACCATATAATTATTTAAGACTTAAGTATCATAACACATCTTATTTTACAATACGAAGTTGGAGCGTTGCCAAACGTGGCCCCTAGACCCAATGTGATAACCAGTCGAGAACAGTATTAAGATGTTTCAATGAAATATAGTACGTTTCATACACTGTAAAAAAATTCTACTGAGATATAATTTTTGTTTAAATTTTATTTATGTCATACTATGTCACATTTCGGTTGTTTCGATGGCTTAGAGCATACTGGGAAGTGAGACTTTAAGTGCACCTTAATGAAATATCATACCAACGTTTGTTTATACAACTATATTTACAATCTATTTTAAATTTGAAATAATAAGTAAATACTTTAACAAATTAAAATAAAACAAAATTACCAACATATTAACTTGAAAATTGGATACCAACGCATCTGATGTTTAATAGACTACGATTAAAACGAGGATTGTTGACAGTTCGTCAGCTATGACGCTGTCATCCAATCAGCAGCTTCAAGGTCACTACAGTGACGAACTGTCAACGGAGGTCGTGTTTTAATATAAATACATATACAACGACGCAGTCGATTACAACAATGAGAAAGAGACAATCATTCTTGCAAAATGTAACAACAGTAGTGTTGTGAAGACAAAGAGAACTAAATTTTTTGTAATTCTTAAATAAGAGTGTAAATAAACATAATATGTAAAGGTGAATTCTGCTTCCTTAAGGTGAAAATATTCCATGATTAACTCCATGTTGTTGGTTCAATGTAATATTCATAGACATTTCCAAGTTTTATAAATTGATAGCGTTTTCAGAAAAAGGTGGTTAGATGTAATCCGACACAATCGAAAGCACCCACAAGGTACAAAGACAATCGTGAGTGTACAATTGTCATTATAAATATATAGATAATCCTAATCCAAATATTGTAAATGTAGGAAATGCCGAAAATAATTGAAATTTTGCAATTTTCGAGGATTAATTTTTTTTAATGAAAACGAGACCTATGCTAACCTATTAAGCGTCTTGTACGCTACCCGAGGACAAAGTTTGGTCAAAACATTTTAAGCCATTTTTGATAAAATTTTGAAAATGTTTTAAGGCTTCGTGTCAAGTTCGCCGCAGAATCAAAATATCTTTTCAAACTCGCGGAGCTTTGAGTTCCTTTAAAGAAATCGAGGTATATCAATTTTTAAGAAAATCGTATAAACGGTTTAGAAGCTACCGTTGATCATAGACTGAAGGAGGAACAGACGCAGACGTTTTGCCATCAATCGATTATTCAGTATCAAAATATGGATTCTGACTATACCACGTGTTAGAGGAAGTAATTTACTACATATAGGAATAACAAACTGCAGACAAATATAATACAACGGCATGATGATAATCACAGTTCAAATCACATTACCACTTTGAAACATTTTATTTATTGCGGCTATTTCATGAATATTACGCTAAAAGCTCTGAAACAATGTACATTGTCAGTCTAGGTATCTGTAGCTCGTTAATTATAATCCAATTATGAAATTAACCAATATTACTTGAAAATTGGTGGAACATTACTTGAAGGTGCTCGTGGCGTAGATCGCTTTTCACCAATGAGGTCCAAGTTCGACTCTCAGACCATTTCATGTGAAATTTGTTCCGACAAAACTACTTTGCCTGTTTCACAAGGGCTAGTCGAACCCCTTTGAATCGTCCTAATCCCTACACTTTCCTAATTCCGGCCGCTGGGTAGTGTCGAAGGAACGCGTGTGGCAGGTGCGTACGCGGAAATGCTACTTGGCGGACCTTGTGACAAGACGTACGGACTATTATGAGTTCACAGTAACTGAGAAGTACTCCATACTATAAAGTACCGGAGGATTTCTCCTTAACAAGCGCTCATCGGCCAACAAGGGTTAGAAGACGCATTGCTACGTTCGGAAGACGCAAGATTTTTTTCAACAAAGACATAAAGTGATACTAAATGTTTGTAAGAACACATATACACTGATGGGAAAATTCATTTGAAACTAGTGATGCAACAAATGCACTTCTTCTCGTTTTGTAGAGGTTAGGAAAATATAAAAATTTCATTTTTATTTTACTAACTTCTCTAGAAAAACTCTTACAACAAACAATTATACTCCGCTAAAGAAAATAATATATATATACATATATATAATATTCATCTTCAATAAAAAAGGTTTAATAAAAACGTCACTTGTCATTGAATTTAGTCACGTGTATCCCGCGCAATTCTAACGTAAAACTTAAATGAACAAAACCATTTATTTGTTTCAAAATGGATTTCAACCTAAAGCTCAGGCTTCAAAAACAAGAGAACATTCGCAAGTTATACTAATGTCAAGATACAATAGGTTCAATAGGTACAATACAGAAGGTTCAATATAATAGTATTAAGGCACCGTTACCAATAATAAGAGAAAGTATGGGATGTAGTGCCTTTAGTTTAGTTTCTTTTTCGGCCTTTTCTTTTCGGGTGGTTTTTGGAATCAAGCGTGAGAGAGAGTGTAGAGATTGGTGGGATGTTTTGTTTATGGCTGCAGTTGATGATTAACTTTGTTGTTGCAGATGAGTGACGAATCACTCATGTACGACAACAAAATAACCGTAGGAGCAATGGGACAGGAGGTAAAGCAAAAACTATGTTAGTCTACAAACGAGGGGGTGAAGGCACAACAAAAGGGTACGTTATCTAGTTTTTCATTTTGGTGGATTATTGAGAACGTGTTCAAATGGAGAAAAGGAATCGTGGAATGATGGCTGATTTTGGATTGTCTGGTTATGGGAGTGTGTACACATAGGAATGTGTTGATATGGGTTAAGCGCAAATATTTTGCATTGTGCGAGTTCATTTGTGATCTTCCGAAGGTATTACGACGTTTGGAGCCTGTGATTAGCTGGGGTCAATCATGTACACCTGGCGAAGGTTACCACTTCATCTTAAACCGTATGTTTCTCATCAGGGATTGCGCGAGGAACTGCAACGGAAAACGAGTTGGCAGGATCGGCTTCAAATCTTCGCTGAACGCTCACCCGACACTACGCACAGGGAGTACACTATGGCTGCAGTGGACGCCATTTACAAGCGCGTGCTTTCGGTGGAACATTACCGCTGGCCGAAGGACAGACCGAGGCTCAAGGCGTCAGTCGTTCTTATCCGGCCCTCCGCCTCTCCGCTGCCCACCGGCATCCTTTCTGAAGATGGTGGTCTATCGCAGGTAAGTGTATATCTCCCACCGATATTGTCAATCTGTTACCTGTCGCTACCCCAAACGTTTCCAGGGGCCACGGCCCAACTCCAACATATGTACTTCAACGCCTATCATACACTGTCATTTTACATAAAACATCAATATTGAATGCATCTCTTCATCTATCATACTTCCCTCGCAAATGGGAACACGCCCACATTATTCTCATTCTGAAACCAGGCAAGCCAAAAACGACCCGTCAAGTTATCGCCCAAGTTATAGCCTACAGCCTTCTTTAGGAAAACTGTTTGAAAAATATATCCAGATACCATACCAGATTACTCTCCCATCTCAGTTCAGTCCAATCCATACCTCCGTATTAATTCAGTTTTCAATCACTTCCTTGCACAAATCACTAAACATTAAGACCAACCGAAGATGTAGTCGAAAGCTTCCATGAAAAGAAAAACACAGTTGCAATCTTCCTCGATGTAACTAAAGATTTCGACACCGTCTGGCATTCAGGACTATTATTCAAACTTATTCACATGAGAACCCCCACTACCTTCTTCATATTACCAAAAACTTTTTTCAGATCGCACTATTTCAGCCCGCCATCCTGGAGCTCTTTTATCTTTTTCCACAGAAAAGCATGTTTACCCCAAGGATCTGTTCTCTCTCCCGCACTATTTAATCTTTATACCGCCGATGTACCATCCATCTCGCATAACTGTTTGCTGATGATACTGCTATATATTCTTCAAATCTTGATATTACCACCGCACAAGAAGTCCTGCAACATCACCTTTCGTAGTTCTCCGACTGGGCCAAGAAACGGCATATCCGGATAAACCAAGCAAAAAGTCAGGTCAAAATATTCACACTTCCCAGACCAAAAATTCCCCCCCTCACAAGTGTCAAGGAGAAAATATATCTTGGCTCCCAAACAACAAGCCAATCAAATATCTTGGTGTATTTTATGATAGGAGGCAGACTTAGAAATGAATTTTCTTCACAGAATAATTCTAGCTACCCGTAGAACCCACCAATTCTATCCCTTACTCAAAAAGCCTTCTCCCTTGATATTTTATGTATCTTCTCATCTATACCAATCAATGATTCGTCCAATGTTATCCTACGCTTCTATTATCTAGGCCTCGGCCAGCAAATGAAATATCCAAAAAATGCAGATTTTCCAAAATGAATTTCTTCGAACCATTACAAAAGCACCCTGGTTTAAACCTAACTCCCAGTTACATAACGCACTCGATAACTCCAATATCCATCCATTTCTCCCACCTATCCATTCACTCGATCCTAAAATTCTCCAGATTCCCCTCAGCCGTACATTTCAAAATCGGAAAACCCAATCCTCACCACAACAGACTAAAGAGGAAACTACCGCGACAGATCTTCGACCCCTTCACTAATCATGTACCCGATGTGGCTTCGAGCGTTCAATCAACGTGCACTCAATGTATGTGAATCATCATCATCAGCATCAACAAGGTTTGGGCCTAGTGGCCCGTTCTGCTCTCAAGAGTCTCTTTCCGTCTTGTGTGGGGTCTGCCTCTGGATCGTTTCCCCTTTGGTTTGTATTCGAGGATAGTCTTGGGAAGCCGTTTCTTTGTGGATTCTGGTTAGGTTGTTCGAACCAATTCTCCTGTTGAGTCGATCTTCTCCAGTATGCTGGAGATCTGTAGTTCACCTCTGATGCTTCATTTCTCTTATGATCTTCGTAGGGTATATCCTGCTAATGGTCTCAGGAATTCATTTCTGCCGCTTCGATCTTTCTTCTGTCTGACCTATTGATTGTCCAGTTTTCGCATCCATAAGTTAGCATTGGTACTGCCATAGTTTTGTAAAATTTTAGTTGGGTGTCTTGTCTGGTCTTTGTTTTAGTACTCTGCGTATAGTACCGCACAATTTCTGGAATTTTTGATCTTTATGTTTTATATCTTTTTTGTCGCAGTATGGATGTTAAATCCTAAATAATTAAAGTTGTTTACTTGTTCAATACTTTTTTCGTTTATCACTACTTTACATATGATAATGGTTTTTCCCTGGAATGCATTGTTTTTTGTTTTAGAGGTTGATATCTTCAAGTTATAATTTTTCCCTGTTAATCGGAGGTAATGGGCAGCTCTCTGTAGGTCGTCTTCTGAAGTACTAAAATGGCTGGTCATCTGCAATAGAGTAGTGTTTAAAATTGTATTGCTTATTTAAAATGTGTGGTTAGTTTTTTGCCATTCTTGAATAATATGATCGATATATATATATATATATATATATATATATTATATATATATATATATATATTATATATATATATATTAAAAAGGGTCGGAGACATCGGGCACCCTTGCTTGACTCCTTGGTTTGTATATTCAGTTAGTTGTTCGTTGTTCCTTTGTCAATACTGGATAGTGGTTTTAAAATAATAAGCTTTTGATGGTTTCTATGATGTGGTTAGGGTATCCACTATTACGCATAATACTCCATAACTTATTCGAGAGACTTTGTCAAAGGCTTTTCAAAATCTATGAACAGGATATAGGTAGGAAGGTTATATTCGGTCTTTTCTCGATCAATTGTTGTACAATAAGTATGCTATCTGCGCATGAAACGTCCTTTCGAATCCATTTTGAATTCGAAAGTAGGTTATTACTTATTTTATTTAATCTTCTAGTAATTATCTTGGCATAGATTTTGTAGGCAGAGTTTAATAGGCTAATTCCTCTGTAATTGCTACAGTCTTGTCTATTTCCTTTCTTAAATATTGGGTGTATAATGGCTTTCTTCCATTCTTCTGGGATTTGATATGTAATTCCAACATATTTTAGTATAAAGAGAACCTTAGCTTGATTTGTGAAGGTGCATACTTGAATAATTTTATATTCAGTCCATCGCTACCTGGAGATTTTTTGTTCTTTAATTTATAAGTATCTCTTCGAGTTCGTTCATTTCTAATGGGTCTACGTTTGCAAATTCTTGTTCTGCGAGTTTTTCTTCTTGCGTGTTTGAAGTCCAAATTCCTATAGTATCTCAGCCATTGCTTTTCGGGTATATTATTTATTTGTACAGTGTCCTTTTCGTCTTTATTTAGGTGTTTTAGAATTTTGTACGCTTTATTTTGGGCTCCATGTATGTGAATAATCTTCCTTAAACAAGTCCAAAATAATTTATTGTACTCTCATGTATCGTTCGTGCTCTGTTACTGAGGGCCTTCAGGCCAAGCAGAAATAAGCGGAAAAAAAGAAAAAAACACAATTAAAGGACGCAATTTAAAATGAAATAAATAGTAATAGTAATAATAATTAATAAAATAAAATGTGAACACAAATTGTAACATGTGCTTCATACTTACTAACATCCATCTGCGTAACTTGGGAGCGGACGACTGAAGGCTAGTAATCTATATTTAAAATTTATTTCAACTGATATAAATCATTTTTGAAATAATAATTTGTTAACTTATAAAAAAAATCTCCAATGTAAGAAACGAACGAATAAATATTAAATATGAAAGAATATACACATTCTAACTTACGTGGCATCCAACTCAAATTCATCTAAAATTACAATTGAGAAGCGCAGAATTTTCAGAGCGGAAGATTAATTTTGACTGCCAACTACTCCAAGAATACGAATAGTTTTGAAACATTCAACATGACATTTCAAAATCTGTTTTTGATGAACACCTTTTTTTAGAAAAATCTGTATCTTCATATTTGTAGTTGTAGGAAGACACCAAAAAAAATTTGGAATTTGTTTGAATTGTCAAAAATAGTTTTCCACCATCATGAGACCTGCACCATTTTCTTCAACATCCTTTAAACTATACACCAACAAAATTTCATCAAAAACGTTGGAGCAGTTTTTGAGAAAAAAAGTTTCAACAAAATTTAAAAATTGCTTATCTTTCAAGCAAAAAATACTCAATTTTTCGAAAAAACATATTTCAAAATATATCTTCAAGAAAAATATTTTATTAAGAGAAAAATTTGTATCTTTAAAATTTAGTTGTAGGAAGATGCCAAAAAGTATTTTCATTTTTTCAATTTTCGAAAAAATATAATTTTCAACGAACACAAATCTTGTGCCATTCTCTTATACGACCTTCAATCTATCCAACAACAAAATTTAAACAAAATCGATGACGCTATTTTTTTTGAAAATTTTGAAAGTGTCCCAGAGCCTTCATGTAAAGTACCCGCCAAAACAAAAATACCAGCTTCAGATTCAAGGGGGCGCGACATCAGCCAGATCAATCAGGGAAGATCAATTTTCAAAAAAATCGACTGTACCGTTTATCCGCTGGAGTTGTTCACAGAAACGTTTTGCCGTCAATCTATTTTTCGGTAACAACGACCCACAAAACATGTATTCTCACTACACCATATGTTAGGAGTGTTTTCTAACTTTAGCAACTAGATTTATCCACTTTTTGCCTCGGCCTGTATTATTATTGAATTTTTCTGTCGAAAATACGCTGTTTTTCGGGCAGCATTTTATAACATTCCTTCTTCAGCCCGACAAAGTAAACTAGTGGTGCTACGGAATGGCGTAGTTTTTCCCGTATTAGTTTTCTATGTCTTGGTTTCGGCTACCAATATGCAACTAGCCAGATTCTCTTGCCTGCTGCCATCTATCGCATCCCAATTTTTCGATTTCCAAATAGTAGAACGTAAATATTTTTCTAAGAATATTAAAGAACACTAAAACCACAAAACAATGAAGACTAAAACCGGTCCTAAACGGCAATTCTCTTTGAAACATTTTGAGGCCGTTTTTAAGAAAATTGCGTTTAAGCGCTACTGTAAATTCGAAATTTGAAGCACTTTTTCATAGAAAACTTTTGAGTTCTCGAAAAACTTATTTTAAAGTAATTTCGAGCACTTTAACTCACATATACAATGGTGTTTACACATTGCTAGACATTTTCTTGGCGAACGGACAACACGCAAAGATCGACACACGCACAGACAAACACACGCGCACAGACAGACATGTCGAAATCGATTTTCCGGAGCATTACAGAACATCACTACACTACGTATATTTCTCCCTATATAAGTATGTATACGGGAAAGTAAAAATCATCAAGCGATGGGTCCTGGGAGAATGTTGGACAAATTCCAAAAGCAAGCCAAATTCGCGTATTGGGAGTAAATTGATAAGCATAACTTCTGATATTGATATTCTTCTGCACCAATTTTCTTCCAGGAAGGTAAGGAACGCTCTGCAAATTACTAAGATGAAAGTAAGTACGCTCTGCAAAGAATTAAATGTTGGGTCACTTTCATATCCGCCGTCATATCAGAAGAAATGATACTGAAATGGAGCTAGCAGCTGTGATACTATATTAGAGACCACGGTATATTGTTACCTTAATCTTGGAATTCTCTGCCAACCGTCCGGTTTCCTCGAGAATGAAGTGGAAGCACATGATATGTCGAGCGAAAGCTATTCATTTTAACCAAAACTTGGAATTGGAACTAATGGTACTGATCTAAAGTCGCTTCCAAGCTACAAAACTGCAAAAAATATTACCCGTTGGTGTCATAAGTTATGTTCGTTTGCTGCGTAGATCTGCGAGCGACCAGTGAGTGTGCACTACGTGGAGGGCGCCGACCACTACACGCTGCCCAGCAACCACCAAACGGCGGCGCTGGTCAACGCCGCGCTGGAGGCGGCACATACGGACCTCTCCAAGGGCTTAACAGGCTTCAGGAACAGCCCCGAAGTGAAGGGGACTCACATAACTGAGATGAACACTTTCGCTGTGAAATAATTGTTTATTGCTATAAAGGCCTTAAATACACTGTCGAAACGAAGAAATCAGTGCCTTGTGGTATTTCTAGTTTGTATTAATTTGTAATATAAAAATATAATACACAATAAGTTCCATTTGTTTTTGATTTGTCCAAAAAACAGGAAAACTATGTGACGTAAGGGGGAAAAGTAAAATCTTCACACGTTTTCTTCAGTTTCAGAATCTCTTCCCAACATTTTAACTGTAACTATTTTAAGACGAATCAACGTTTAATAATAATATTGTTATTATTAATATTATTATTAAAAAAGCGCGAGATTAGCGACTTTCGATAAAAAATAGAGATTTTTGCTGTCTAGTTATAGAAAACGTATTGTTGACCAAATTTTACACAGCCCTTGACTCCTATCACTGTAAGTGAGAGGAGAGGATAACTGAACATGCGCATAGTGAAGCAACATTTCTGCCCAGAAGAAAAACAAGGGCCTCTTTCATCATTTGTTAAATGGATCAGGGAACTCAACAAAACCTTGATCGAGTTGGGGTCTTTGCTTCAAAAGCAGTAGTAAATCACTTGTTTCATCCATATTAAGTCCTTGTCAAAAATTATACAACACGAATGCCAACTAATGCACTATTTATGACCGGTAAAATAAACATTTTATTTTTATTTTTGGTGACCAGTGTAGACTATAATTGTATAGGAACAGTTATGCAGCAGAAAAGATTTTACTTTTAACTTTATTTTGTGTACTGATTTTATTTAATGTTATCTGTCAAAGTGCTGTAAAGTAACGTAAGTGTATTATATGGGAATTTCTTGTAATTATAAATATCAGAATTTCATGAAAATATGTTCTCACAGTTAAATCAGTTAGGCAAAAACGACATACTCGTAAATAATTAGGGAAAACAATGGAAAGATTCCAAGCCCAATGAAGACAGTCTTGCAGGAATTACCAGGGCGGCATTTTTTATTATTAGAAAGATATGTACTACAGGAACAGAGAAAAATCATCCAAAAAAGGAAAACACAGTCTTTCTGGGTAATGATAAAGAACATTCTATAATGTAATCAATTTGAAATGGATGATAAGGTACCCACTTCTAACACAATTACCCAAACAAATGAGTGTTACAGGGAGACCTTTTTAGCCCTATGCCGTTCAATATTGCTACAGTCAACATCTCAATAATCCTAGGGAAATCACAAGAAATAACATTAAGCATGTTCGCAGACGATATGGCCTTCAAAAGCGTGAACAAACCAGTCTTGCATGCAACATGAGTGAACTAAGAGAAATGAGTTGATGAAAACAGCATCAACATGAACTTAGAGAAAACGTTCAGATATTTAGAAAAAACTAATTTCTACAGAAGGTACACTGTATCTAAAAGACGAGTCTTTGAAAATAGCAAAGAATTTCAAGTACCGGGCGTACATTTTAATGTTCGCCAAAGATTCAAGCGGCGTCGTACGGGGAGTCGAAGGCTCGCTCGTCCAGCGTAGCGCCGACTTAACTCCCGTGTTGACATACGGGAACTATGGCTGCGATTAACTTATCTTGAAAATTATGCTGCAAGCGGTGGCTTTCGACTCGAATGCATTCTTGATTGCATTTGCACCTCCGGAACAAATTCTAATTTACTTTTAAAATAAGTCTCGAGAAATTGTTGCGAATTTCTCTTTAATAAAGCGTGGTAGTTTTTCCTCCGAATGCAGGTTTTCTGAATACACCGGATCTTTCAAGTATCCCAAAGAAAAAGTCACAAGGGGTCAGATCAGGTAATCTAAGCGTCTATAACCCAGGACCAATTATTCGATCATCAATATAACAGTAATTAACAAGTTCGTGGATCGAACAGCAGTGTGAGCACTTGCCGAATCTTGTTGAAAGTAATCATAGAAGCCTCAAAGACTTTCTTGAAGATTGTAACAATAGAAGCTTTCTTCTGGTGTAAATTGTTCGGAGAATAATGTTAATAAACATCAACAATAACGCTGGTGTTGAAAAAAATTGGTTATTTAATTCTTGTGGAACTCAACGTACACCACATTCAGATCTCCACATCGTTAAGTGGTTCTTCCTGAGGAAAGATTTTATGCACTTCAATAGCGGTTGTTTGGCTGGTATATCCATTCAGATCAAACTAGCTTCATCAGAAAAGATATTCAGAATATGTTCCGTGGGGCCAAGAATGCATTCGAACCGAAGGAGACCGCTTTCAGCATCTTCTTTAAGGTAAGATAAGCGAAGCGATAGAGAGAGTATATATCAGAGACGGCTCTCAATGTTAAACGGAGAGCCCTTATTTTTTTTGGAGGGGAGAAATTCGAATCTCCCACCCCAACAGAAGCAACTAATCAGAAAGAAACAGCCATTTTCCCCCAGCGTCAGCCAATAAGCGTCGAAAAGCAGTCTACCAATTGAAATGGAGGACGGACGTGAACCGGGCCATTTAAAATTTCATTATCTTGCAAATTTTCAATACGGCGGACATAGTTATATACTAAATAGAATATAATTTACGTATAAATTAATGCGCAAGGTAATGTAGAGTAGATACATACTCTCTGCTGTACAAGCTAATAATTAATAGGATTTTGAATTCAAAGTCAGTAAAGGAAATTTTGGTCACGGAAGTGCAAAATACAAAAATATTTTATATACGCTATTTATTTCTAAATTATGTAAGTATATAATACACAATAAATATATAAGCACACATACACTATATATACACACAGGCACACCATTCACAATATAAACAATTTTTACAAAATCAGTATAAGAATAATATTATATATATATATATATATATATATATATATATATATATATATATATATATATATATATATATATATAAATGTAGACACACACACACACTCTCTTTGCTATGGACTGAACACATGAATATTAAATTCATGAGTTTAGAAAATAGTCAAAATACACTTAGTGCCCATAACTTTTTTAATATTGTCTCATTATCAAAACAACATACCAGACATCAATATATGGTTGAAAAATTTCAAGTAATCAAAACTTTAACTGAAGTGTTATGATACAAATGAATATTATTGATAATTTTCACAACGAAACTTTAATTTGCACAATTTTATTCACAAACACAATTTATTCAATCAAGTCCTCTACTATGTATATTAAGCTACACAGTATATAAATATGTGTATATAAAATTACTGACATTTAATAAGTTTACTATTTAATATTATTGATATTAAATAAGTTTACAAAAAATATTGATTACTGATATAAAATAAGTTAATAATGCACAAATTAAAATAGATAATAACCTTGAGTAAGTCTCTTAAGGATCTCAAATTAACAAATTTTCTTAAAATTCTTAATTAAACATGTGTATATACCAATATAATATGAACATTCCGAAAGAAATCCTGTTATTCGGAATAAGAGGGTATACACTGGACATGTGGAATTCATTTTACTGCTGTGAAACATTAACCAAACTAAACCACTTATCATACAATATTATATCATGTGTACATGAAAAGTGAAACCTTAAAAATCTCTTTGGATTAAAAATTAACAGCTCCACAGACAATGAAATTGTTATCTTCCAAAATAACCATTTTTTTCAGATTCTTATGCATTACTCATTAGATATTTTTTTTTATTTACAAGCATTATGTAAAACACAAAAATCAGAATATGAATCATGCTAACACCTATAATATCCTACCATTGGTACACATCACCTGTTTGCAAGAGAAAATCACCATGCCCATTTTGGATATCATTTAATTATTTACATTACTAACTCATATTTTTTCATTCGATTAGCAACATCAATGTAGTCCAGAATTTTGGATGTACTAATTTATTGTGAAAATGTACTGGAAAAAATGCACCTTTAAACCTCATTTTTCCCCTATTCAAAAGTAATATTGGATATTAAAGCATGTTATAAGATACAAGTGTAATTTATCAAAAGGCATTGAGGGAAAAAATTAAATCAAGTTGAACTAAATTGAATTCTTCTCAGAACACAGTTTTGGTAATCGGTTTCACTTGTTTTCAGGTATTTCACATGATAGACTGATGTTTTAACACAGCAATTTGCTAAATGGGTATCAGATATAAACCCAAAGATAGATCGTATACCCAGAATTACTTAATAATATTTGTAACAGGTATTGAATAGGTGTTCAATTATTAAGAAAAGATTTTCATTATTGTCCGTTCAGTTATGAAAGCAATTTTTTTATACAAATTGAAGCGAAACTAAATTGAAGGTCATAATTTGTGATTAACTCATACAAATTATTCTCATTACTCAAACATTGGCCAACTTGTGCTTGTGCCATGATACTCCCTTTTATTTTTGTATTTCCACCAAATGAGGAATGTTCACACATGACTATTAATATAGATAAAATGCAAGAAAAGTACTCTTTAAAACTTCCTTTTCACAAAATATTTAAATGCATAACTTTGTGACAATTTAGTCTGTTGCAGGCTTAGAACATATTAAAAGAAAACAACACAGGCACTTTGAAATTCAGAATTTATGGCATGTCGATTTACATACACGACTTAATTCACACACAAACATATTCCCATCTTTTTTTACATGATTTCTATCAATTCTTATAACATTCATTGTAGTGATAGTTTTGTAACAATGTAAATCACTTGTGAAAACTATCCCTATCTCCAACTACATGCACTCAACTCACACTTTGACCCTTCCACAACAGCTCACAGTCCAGCTTATATGGTTGGTGGAAGAATACATTTCACAGTGATACTAACAATTTTTAAAACCTGTCAAAAATTGTCTACTTCCTGAACAGACAATTATGGATCTCAATGGACCATGAACAACACTGTGTATACTATGGCATACCACTTGAAATACAAAATTACTACACAGCAATACTAAGAGACAGTATTGACAGTATTATACTTCATATAATTGCTAGA